TGTGGCACATAAGCCCTGGCTGCTCTTATGATCCACAGAGCCCAGAGAAATGAGGAAGGGAAAACAGGAAAAGTAAGAAGCTGGGAGGCATAGGGAATGGGGTTTGGCTGAAGCCACTGTGCAGCTCCAGAGCTGTTTCATGCCATAGCACTGAAGCCAAGAGCAAAATGCTTCCTGCCCTGTGGTGAGGGCAGGCAGATAAGGTACCTCTCTGGGGAAGCTGGAACTCAGGCAGGGATTGCTCACTTATTAGTGAGCAATCTTAAATTCATACTTATACACACACATCAGTGGGGCAGTGAGAACCCCCTGATCAACAGCTGATAGGGCAGAGTTTTCAAAAGCGAACTCTGATTTTCAGGCACTGAATATTCAGCACTTCCAAAATCAGAAACAGGAAAGAAATTCAGCAATAGTACTGCTAACTATTATTTTAAAATATCCATGCTGTGTGGTCAACCCTCATGAATCGTGAAACAACAAAACTAATTCCAAAAGTAAGCACCTAAAACCACCAGCGAGAAAAGTGTAACACACAGGATTTATTGTTTATGTGCTTTATGCCGATGCAATGTATATATGTGTTACCAGCATAGGATGGGATATAGCATTAAAACCAAACCAGCCTGCAGTAACTATACCCTTTAGGTTTCACAAATATTGCCTTTTGTTTGCTTGCATTCACTTCTCTGTTTTGTAAATACAAATATTTGGTCAAGGCACCTGCTCAGTCAAGAACTGTGACTGCTGATCCAGGTACAGGTTTGCAGACATGTGCACAGCAGAAACCCATCTAAATCACTGAGTATACAAATCACCAGGCAGGTGGTTAATTCTTTACACATTTATGGTGATGCACAGTCAGTGAACCAGCACAAAGGTTAGACACTTCTTCTTAAAAATTGACCTGTGACTTGTTTAGAATAGAATTTAATAAAAGAAAAAGCAGAAAATATAAGTTAGGTTATGTTGCTTTTAGGTTCTGATTATCCTTATTATTGCTACTTGGAATTGTTTGGAAAACAAATACAACATTTTGCAATTAGACCCCTGATCTGTGAAAGCACTTGAGCAAGTGTATGATGGAGCATATGAGTAGTCACTTTAATGAAATTACTACTTATATACATGAATTATCCACTCATTTTAAGTGATTTTCTGGATCAAAGCCTTCCTCTTTCAATTAGAACAGCAGAGTTAAAGTAATCTAACAACTCCAGTTTGGAAAAAATAACAGACCAAAGGTGGTTCTACCAATAAAGAGATTCTAGAGGGGAGAGAGAGTAAATGATACCTGTAGGAAGTGCCCATATGACTACACCCCATCAGCTATAATTATGCATTCAACTTTTTTTACCTAGATTAAAATAGTATTTTTTCTTCAATTGTAATAAAATTCTGCAGTACTTTGGTTTGTGTAGGGGCAGAAGATGGTAATGGTCCAAGAACTTGGACAAAACTCACTACTTAAAATATCAGCTTTACTTTTCACCCGAGGTAAACAGAGTACATTAGAAAGCTCCAGCGTGGCCTCAGGAAGTGCCAGGACAGCTCATTCAAAGCAATACGTTCTCTTCTGAAAGGTTTTAGTTATTATAAATAAAACTCTCTCTCTCTCAGATGCACCTGAGAAGCATTAACTTCTTGGTGACTTTAAGAACCAAATCCTTTAATACAAACCCAGCTTTTACCACAGGCACTTGAAAATATTTAGCATTTTTCCAGTTGAATGCAATTTTCTTAATAAAGTAGCTCACTAAGCTACCTGACACCACAAAGACACCGAGTAAGCAGCTCCTGGCAGCTGAGGCAGAGCATGATGGCAGCCCCTAGTTACATACATAAGTAGGCTTTTAAACATCCAATTGCTGCAACAATTCAAGCAATGTACGTATTGTATGTTATTGTTACATATTTTACTCATTATCTGTAACACATGCATTTTATTCCTTGAGGTCCAGATACAACTCTTGCATACACAGTGTCCTTCAGTCAACCTTAACGGAGGATAGAAACGTCTGAAATTTCTGTAACACATAAATTCTACCTCTATGACCCATTTTAGAGCACCAAAGGATCTCTTTGCTACTCTAAAACCAATTTGGATGCCTAAGTTTAATTTCTGTGGCTTAGGGGCTGGAAATCACAATTTGCTTAATATACAATCCCTTCTGCTCCAAAGTAGATTCCTCCACATAAACACTTTCTGACCAGCACCAGCTCATTGCTGCTAATGCTGCTCCCTGATTGCAGTCAACTGTTCATTTAAATTTCACTGGCAAACCTCTCAAAGAAGTAGGGGAATGAGGTATATTTTGTTCTGTGCCAAGATACTCAGTCCAGTCTATAAAATGTGAAATGTTGGTAACTGCATCTCTGGCAGTTTCAAGGGGATCATTCTAAAACTGCAGTATATTTTGTTAAATCAAGCCATGCAATGATCCTGCTTTACTTCCATCCACTTAGCCTATTAATGCAGGCTAACGCTGCGTGTTCTCATAGCAGCAAAACCTAAGGTGTACCAGGAGACTGCAGTGATAGATTACATGTACATGCTGTGTCATATCCAATTAACTCAAATTGGCTGTGTACTGCATTATGCTGTTAGTGCATGGAAGATCAATAAATATGGAGAAAATCCAACAAGGCTCTCTCCATTCCCATCCAATTCTAGTAGGTCTGCGACAGATCATGCTCCTATGATGTGTATGCTGCTGCTGAAGAGGGCAGGTGGTGCATAGACACCATTCAAACTCGGCCTATTCAAGCTAAACTCCTCTAACTCGCCATTCATGCATAGCAAAACACCATCTGGTCCTATTTTGCCTCCAGCAATCACAGCTGACCAAAAACGATAATAACAGCTGTTGCAAAACAAAAGCCAAACAAAGGGGGGAGGGAAAGGTCAGAATGAAGTCCAGTGCTGCAAAATACTCCATGAAGTGAGAAATGGAAAAGGAGCCATTCAAATATCCAATCCCCATTGAAAAGAGTCAGTGCAAGACTTCTGGTTAAACTTGAGATATTTAATCCATCTGTCCTGCAAACCACAATGGTCAGGTGATAATATAAATTTGAGATTATGTTGCAAAGAGGTATTTAAAGCCTTTGTTCTCCAAGTTAGAAACTAATGACCCTGTGTCAGCTAAAAATTAAACCTCCTTATGTTCTTTCATCATGTGTCAACCTGGGTTAATGTGAAAGTAGAATGTGGTTAACCGGGGTGATAAACCATCTGAAACCTTGGGAAAAGAAGGGAGCAGTTAAGTACTTGTAAATGATATGAAGGAAAACATTCTTTAAACTGTGCTTGACACTGAAAGCATACGGATACTGCGTTTTTCCTCTATAAATTGCATATTAAGCAATTTAAATTAACAGTTTTATTTATGACCTATGATAGCAAAGTTATTAACTTAGTCTTAGGGAATATGAACACCAACTTGCACAGTTTGAAACGCAAGATGTTCTGCAATATGCTGTTGTGGGTAATGCAAAATATAATTTTGTAGCAAGCAGGGTCATGCTCCAGTTTTTCAAGATTCAAATTTTGATATGTAAAATGTGCAGTCCTGCTTGGTGATTAATACTTTTTAGCTGCATTAATTGAAACTATTTTTCCTGGAATTGACCATCAGTAGTTCAGAAGCTCTTAATCAAATGTGATAAAACCCAGGATTTATGAAACCATTTAATGAGTGTAATAACACCTGCTTCTCGCTGCAAATAGTTGAAAACAGACTTCAGTTGTAATTAACTCTTATCACTAGTGACATTTTTCCAACGATACTTCATAGGCCTTCAAAATGACAATTATAGAACTAATACACAATTACTGTCACATGCAGTTTAGCAATTATTTCTGAAGACATTTGTCTAAAGGTTTCAAAACGACTATAAAATGGTTCCCTTTGTTATGTAACATTGGTTAAAGCTGACACAGGCACAAATCTCTCCCAGCCAGGCTCTGCTGTGCCATTTCCAATGCAGGCAGGCTTCCTCACGCCTGGAATACACAGCCTCCATCCCAGACATTATTAGATATCATACTAAGGCTATTATGAGCATGGGTAGCTGTCAACTAACACCTATCATGAAAAGCTTCAATCTATACATGATTTTTTCTGCTCCAAGAAATCTATAAATTTATAATTAGAATCTCTTGCTGTTCAATATTTGTACATAATAAACAGAGTACCTGAAAATTATGAAATATTGAAAGCTGAATCAATTATTAATAAACTCACATGGTATAGCACCTCTACCATAAGCCTGGCAGCAACTTTTTGGGGATCTATATTCCATTGTTTTTTGGTTGTGGCCTGAACCTTGTAGCCATGGACATCGCCTCAAACAAGATTAGGATTCTGCTCAGGTTTGACACTTGCTTTTTAATTTTCATTTTATCATAAGCAGTTTAAGATTGTTGCCAGTGGTAATTTGCAATTTTTATCAAGACCTCTTCATTATAGCTTCTGACAGGACAGATGCTGTAATTAATCATGCAAGACAACTGGGGATAGTGGTCAGGCTGCACTTGCAGCACAGCTATTGCAAGCAAAGAAGGGAAAGAAGAAAAGAAAGGATTTCTCCTCTCTGTCAAGAGTAAAAATATAGCAGCTCTAGTAACCTGACAACACATTGGACATTAGTATTTCCAAATCCTCCCCTACCACATACCTGCCCCCCTTTCCATTCCCTCTCTATCATGTCCTGCTTTTATGATAAAGTCAGAGAACTTGGGATCAGCCCCAGTCAGACCTCAGGGCTGAGAAGCCCATGGCAATAGTTGGGTTTACATCTGAAACTTAAAGGCACAAAGAAAACCAGTTGTGCTTATTTGCATCTCTGAACAATCCTGCTCAGAGACGGGTCTGCTCTCCTGTTCTGTGGATAAATGCAACAGGGGGTCCCACGAATGTTTCACAACCTGTTTTCTCTCTCTCTCTGGAGAGGTAGACACCACAGTGAAGTTGTACCTGACTCTTCCACAGCCCATGAACTGGCTGCACAACCTTCCCATCCGCACCCATCGACCCAGTGTGCTTGATAAAATGAACTCCAACAAGTTCATTAAATTTTCTAATAAATGGTTTTCATACAGAAGCACTTCTGGTTTTTCTCTGAAAGACTTGTGCTCATCAGTTTTACTGAAATGTGTTTATTCTATAGCAAGATAAAAGCATTTATTTTAGATAAGCAAAATACAAACAACTTAATTGCTGCTATCATAACTCATAAAAAAGTATAAAACAGCATAAAAACACGATAAGCAATGTAGCAATTAATAATTCATGTTACCAGTGTTTACATTAAAGCCTCATTTATGAAAACTTTACAACACATGATATGAAAACTTACAACTTTTAAAGAAAATATTTACATTGATTATTCAGTTGTGGAGTTTCATTTAAATATTCTACTGGGTTTACAGCGTATTAAAAACTCTTGCATTTTTCATCTTAGCTTTCTGTAATAACAGTTTTATTTAAGTGCATTTCCCTTTTAAAAATACAGTGTATTAAATCTGAAACTCATCACTTCGACACAGAATATAATATTCACATTTGTTCTGTAGTTGGAATTAACGTAAGAAGGTAAATGTCAATATATATATTTTCTTACAAACTATGGTAGGTTTATTTGGAGAAATGAAGTGAAAGTCAGGTCAAACATTTAAGTTCAGTTCCTTGCATTTGTTTTTCTGAAGACATTTAAGAGAAAAAAAAAAAAAAGTTAAGAGCTTTGGCAAAAATCTGTGATTTACTCTATTTTTCCATGACAAAAAATGCCATCAACTAACTCATGTCATACAATTATGATTGTATGAAATCCAATCATCATTTTACAGGTAGTTACAACTGTGCTTTAAGGGCTTCATGAGTTCATACTGCCTTGAAGTGCATCATTCACTTTTAGAGAAAGAAAGGGTGTCTCATAGTATCATATAACTCTGAAAGGCCATTTTGCAGTCATAAGGTCCAGGTATTTATTAGGCCATTTGATTCACATATTGTAGGTAAAGCTTAAATAAATTAAAAAGGCATCACATGAAAAATAGCACAGCTTTTTTTTTTTTTTTTTTTAAACAAAATGGTTTATAGTCAGCTAAAAGATGATACACAGCTACATTGTAGTTCTTTATTGCCTATCTAATAGACACTTTAGAGGATCATTTGATCTGTTATGCATCCCTGCATAACTACCATCAACAATTTACAGTTTTCAGCCAAATATGGTTTACCCCTACCCCCTCCATCAACACACAGCCATGTTGCAAGAGCATTTATCTTCAGAAAATACTGACCTGTGATAACACTTGAGTCTGTGTCTGAGACTGTATTTGTGACTGGTGTTGCTGAGGTGCTGGCTGAGGGCTCCCAATGGCAGGGATGGGAGAGGTGATCTGCGAGGCTACTGGGGAGTGCTGCTGAGGAGAAGGCTGTGACTGGTGTTGCATGTGCTGCATTTGCTGCTGCTGCATTTGCTGAAGCTGTATGTGCTGCAGTTGCTGTTGCATTTGCTGTTGATTAATTTGCTGTTGAAGATGCTGCTGCTGCTGCAAATGCTGTTGCATGTGGTGCTGAAAATGCTGTTGTTGCATTTGTTGTTGTATTTGCTGATGCATTTGATGCTGATGCAGCTGTTGCTGTTGCATCTGCTGCATCTGTTGCTGCTGGAGCTGCTGTATCTGGTGCTGCTGGCTTTGCATTGAGGGACTGACTTGAGATGAAGATGGCGTTGCCACCATATTTGTTCCCATAGAGCTTATCAAGGGGGCTGCAATGTTTGTTGGCATGTTTGATGCAATGGTAACAGAAGCAACAATCTGATTCATTGGCAGTCTCATGGTTAAAGGCTTTGGAGCAATTGCTCTTGGAAGGGACTGTTGAAGAGCTTGAGGGGATGCCGATACTGTTGCATGTTGAGAAAGAGAAGTATTCAAAATAAGGGAGGAAGACAAATTTGTGGATGCCAATGTTTGCTGAACAGAACGAATTGTCTGGGCCTCAGCAGATTCTGCAGCAGCCTGTGTTTGGAAAAGAAATTAATTGTATTTTTAACCGAAAACACATTGTTACTGTTTACATGAAAATAAAACTCATGGCTTCTCTGGGAAACTTCATCTTTTGTTTTCTATCAGGGAAGATCAATCAGCAATCTGATAAGAGCAGTTTACAAACAACAAAACTCCTCAAACAACTTTTTCAATGTGCTTGTTGTAGTTCTTGGCATCTGAGGCATCTACTAGACCTGGGTATCCACAACAGAAAAAAGTCTGAGGAAACACTGTCAAGGTACCCAAAGAAGCACACTGGAAGCAGTAAAGCTGCATCTGCAGGATGCTCTGCTTGGGAATCCTGCCTGCTTCCAGTGTCCCAGAGGTTTCTGAGGAGGTGTGAGGAGAGACTTGTGGAAAAACTGCAGTTCAAAGAGGACTATTGCAATACCTGAGGCATTTTGGAGCCTTTGAAGACATCCCTTTATTAGATATATTTAAATTAGATCAATTGAGAAGTTAGGATTCATTTCTCATAGTTTACACATCTGCATTGCACATGACATGCAGAATAATTGCCTACAATTCCTATATACAGGCATCAGAGAGGAAAGTCCGTTTCAACACCATTAACTGATATGTTTTAGACTTTTCCCTTAGAGTGTGTCCAATTGTGCTGCAGAAGTGTCTATTCTACTCTCAGCAGCCAGAGATGGATGGAAAATGGATGAAAAGTCTACAGCAAGGGTGTCTTCTGTTACAGGAGATGAGGTAAATTCTGACTCTCGGTGTAATTTCCGCTCACAGCCTTCCAAGAGGTTACTCAGCAGAACAGGCACCATGGATTTTGGGAGAAAAGATGATTTCTGATGTTTTTGAAAATGAAACTTAGAATTGACAAAATAAATTCCATCAAAAGGTACTTGGAATTCCAGCTGCCACAGGACTGAGCATTGTGATACTAAAAGCTTTTAGCATATTATCTAAGTCGCAGAGACAGCAGAAAAACACAGCTTCTCAACACAGGGAGAAGAAATCTTTTGGCTTTCAGGAGGCACGTGTATAATTGCTGCTGTTGTATTTCTAAGCCTTAACTAAAACACACAGCACCATTCAATGTGATTTACTAATGCTCTGCAGTTGCACATTCAATAAAGGATTCTCAGGACTTAGGATTCAAGTAAGGATTCTCAGATCTTTATGAAATATAATTAGAGAAATAAATACCTTATTTTTTCCCCTATTTTAGATATGGCCATAAGCATATTTTCACTTATGATTTTCAGGTGTAACAGACCTACAGCCAGAGCAATGCCACTGTTAAAGGTTAAAAAGGTAAGTCAGCAGAGCTTCGTTTTCTTCATGAGTTTTATTTTAACTTGGGATCTGCTAAAATACTCCACGTGGCTCACTGCCAGCTAGTCCATTTCTAAGTATTCAGAGCCACCTGCAAGAAATACTTAAAGTTTGTCATAAAACAACTGGTTTCCAGCTCCATGCAAAACAAGTCTGTCTTTCAAGAAGTAGCTCTTGAGGAAAAACAAAATTCAGCCAATACCTTGTTAATGTTAGTGTCAAAAGGTCAGTGTATTTTTCTTCAACAAATTTTACTATTGTAGTGAAGTGCATTATTTTGCTTCCATAGATAAAGAAAGATGTATATTTGCAAGGTTATTGTTTGGTAATCACTACTGTGCCTTTAGAGAGATTTTTTTTTTTTTCAGAGACTAAGCAGGGTTCAAGCAGCAGCACAACATCTTGAGCTGTATTACAGAAATCCTAGGATTCTACCTTCCATATTTAAACCCCATTGCCAAGAGCCAACTTGCATTACACTGAAGGCAGTATTAGGCTTACCTTAGAAACAAGGCTTGCTCTGTAAGCAGCAAGTGCCTTTAGGTATTCTTTTTTGGCAGCTTCAGTTTTTCTTTTGTATACCTATTAAGAGAGATCACAACTTCAGTTATTAAGATTTTTTTTTGCCAGAATGTTCTTAAAATCAGGGCAGAGAAACAAAAAATACAGACCAAAAACCTTAAAACACTCTACTGTTCTATGCGCTTTTTCTTCCCTGAAAGATCTAAATATTCTTGTGAGTGATCATAGGCTCTCAGGTCTACTTGCTGGGCTTGCAACACAATTTATATTGATCTGTCACAAATAAAAAAAGCTGCTAGAGCAGCCAACTGTTTGACAAGACTCCCTGTGCACACTTTACCTCCCCAGGAAATTGTATTTTAATGACTCTAAGTAACAGAGATATTAGAACAGTAAGTATTTAAGATGCTAAGAAAGTATCTGAAGTAGTATAAAATAGAAAAAAAGCGCCTAGGTAATATATTTTTAAACAAGTATTCAAAGTGCATATAAAATAATCTTTATGCCTTTAGAGAAGGTGGTTCATAGAGCTTGGACAATTCCCTTTCCCAAAGTCAGTATTAGAGAATCCCATTGAGTTAAACAAGAACAGTCAGACAAAAAGTTAATCTGTATTTTTAACCATCAGTAAATTTAAAGTTCACCTATAAATCATGTTCACCACCATCTGTTAGATCAGACTAAAAGTTTCCAACTGTATTTCACAAACAAGAATCATTCCTATTTTGCCAGAAGGTTTCCTGTGCAGGAGTCTACTCTTCCATTGCAGCTTCCATTAACTGTCACTGGGAGCTTCACAGAGTGTCACCAGGCAAGCAGCCCTAAAGCATTGTTATTTATTTTTCCTTCAATCCATGTGTAGGAGTTACATGTGTACAGAAAGAAGAATAACCCTCAAGGAAGAACAAAACTCATCATTCTGTACTAACTTCAAGCTGGGGATAACATTTCACACACAGCGTCATAATGAGGCACAGAGGATTGGCTTCAAAGGTTGGAAATCAACACGCATTGTAACAAATTCATAAGGCACATCAAAGCAAAATGGTAAATGTGCTGTATCTTCCCCTTTTCTACCTTCTGATTAATAGGAAACAAGAGCTTTGAAACAGGAATTGTCAAAAGATGATCTTAAAAGGACTCTAGGACAGTATCACCTGAGCTTTTTACAAACTGTCCTTTAAAATTTAAAAGCAAATACAGCCATTTAATACTACCTACTGGCTCTTAGGACAGAGTGGTTTTTAGATGTCTTCAGCGAGTTCAAAGATCAATGTAGCTCTGCAGAGTATGCAGCAGCAAGTAGTGTGGTCCACTCTGAGCAGAGGTACAAGCATTTTTTACTCAGACTAATATTTTACTTCTGGTGAGACAACCCTGCATGCTTTTTTTTACCTGTTTTTGTTCTTCTCCTAAACTGTCCCACATAGATGCAACAATTTTTGACACATCTCCAAATGTAGCATTTGGGTTCTGCCCTTTAATTGCAGCTTGTGTATCCCTGAAGAAAAGGGCATATGCTGACACTGGCTTTTGTGGCTCGTTGGGATCTTTCTTTTTCTTCTTCTTTGGAGTCTTGGGCTTCTTCCCAGAATCTGGAGCAGCTCTTTTTTCTCCAGTAGCCTAAGTAACAGTAAAATCAAAACCAGTCAACATACATATGCAAGAAATAAGAGTAATTCTCAAAAATTATTGGCAGTGTGGATTAAAACTAGATATGCAACAGTTTGGAAGTTCCTGTTGTGCAAGCCTTTCTCCTGTGAAATAGTACTTGGTCTCAGCTTAATCTCATCAGATCTACTGGAACTAAATGCATTAATAGTTTCTACTCATTGTAAGCATGGCTTGGAGAGCCAATCATTCAAGCTTGACCTGAAGAAGTACACAACAGTGCTAACTTCTATTTTTAAAAAATTAAGATTTAATCTACAGTATATTTTGAATAGGCAATCTGTGTTTTGCCATTAAGCTGTAATTTCAGCAGCAGAGAATTCAAAAGACAAGAGCTGGGAGGCATTCCTCATGCCCAGATTTCAGATGTCAACTTAGCCATGGGTCAGGGGTTTAAAAGCCCACCCTCCAGGCAAAAAGCAATAGCAACTCTGCTGTTTCTGTCCACCTGCAGCAAACACTCACTGTGTCCAACACCCACGTGCTCTGCTCCCTGGGCAGGGCCAGGAACTGCTGGATGTGGCTGCCAGGCACCCACCCTGCCCCCAGACCTCCCTCCTGCCTCTGGGATGGGGAACCCCTGGAGCAGCACACCCTCAGTTACAGGGAACTCCGGTCCCTGTGTGCTCCCTGTGCACTTTACCCCTTTTTTTTAAACTATGCACAGATCATTGCAGCAAAGGGATAAAGAGGCTCTAAATATACTGCTATGATAGGTATTTTACTTTGATATTTTGAGGATCTTGTGCAATGACCTTTACATATGCCCAATGTCCACTAACTTCATGAGAAAACTTTTTATGGAATAGCCTAAATTAAGCCCTTTAGGTGTGCCAGTATAACGACATTTGTACTTTATTTTCTTGATAAAATTTTACCATTAAAACAGATTTAACACAAAATGTAAATTAACTAAACTTCCAGTTAGAAGAAAGCTTATGTTATTTCCATCTAAATGCATCTGTTTGATATGACTCCAGAGAATACCCAAATGACAAAACTGTCCAAAGTTGATGAGGAAAGAGATTCACTAGATCTATAAAATCTGAAACAAATTATGAAAGTATTCAACCATATATATATATACATATATACACACACACATAAATATATCTCCTTACATATTTTGATATGGTCTATTTGACCACACTGCAGCTGAGGTGATCCTGCCACACTGATGAAAAGGCAGCACACAGCCACATAAAGCTCACTCACTACAGCACATGGAATAACTTACTCTGTTTGATTCATCTGCATCTTCTTCATTTATAGAGCTGGATGGGGAAGGAGTGGCTGATTTACTTGCGGGAGGGGAGGGTGAAGTGTGTGGCAAATTAGTGCCACCTAAATTTAGCCCCAGCTGCGCACTTAGCTGAGACTGGTTAATGGTGGTTAGCTGGGAAGGAGGCATAATTCCCGAATGAGCAGCATCAGTCATATGGACAATAGATCTCATAATCAGAGAGTGATCCTGACGATACTGGGAGACTTGGGTGTGACTCTGATCCTAGAAGAGATCAAAACATTATTCAGTCATTAGCAGTGACCACAGAGCATTGCCAAATAACGTTCTTTTCACAGGATTACAGAACTGACACTGCCAACCTGCTGTTTCATTTCTTTTCAATTAATTAAATACATTTTTACTAGATTAAACACAACAGTTACCACACTTGCCCCAGCATTCACTTCTCCCCGACTTGTGGGTGGGGCTTTTTTTGTGGAATAAAAATGGCATTTCCCCATTTTTGAACATTTCTTCTCTTGATGCATTGTGAAATACCCACAGAAACAGCAGGGAAAAGGGGCTGACTGATGATACAGGGAAACACTGCAACTGAGAAGACACAAACTGCTGTCAAATGCAGAAAATAAGCAAAGCCAGGGCAGGGTGGGTAAACATGTATATAGAAAACCATCTCCCTTTACTGACATTCAATTGTTCTTAGCTGTTACTAGTAACAGTAGTAGGTGGGATTTAAAAGCTGTTTAAGCAACGAGCATTGCCCTGCCAGGTCCTGAGTGCAGACACTGCAGCATGCTGGAGAATCATTCCAGTCATCCAAATCACTCCTGAAATCCTTGTTTGCAAGTACCACACAAATCCATACATTTTTCTCTTTAATCCAACAATCAAACATGTTTGGAACTAGTAAGCTATGTACCCTCATAGACTTCATTTTTCCTTTACTGCGTGTTTCAGAAACTCAAGTGCTGGCATGGTGTTGTTTCTGCTTTTTCCTGAGAGCACAAACATTGTCTTTTACATCTGCACAACACTTACACATTTGTAAATAAAAAGAAATGAGATGCTGAAGGTAAAGTCAACTGGAATCAGTGGATCAATACACAATGAAAGAACATTTAAACAGAAGTTTTTTTAAAACAGTTAATAAGTGAAGAGAATAAGTAGATCACAAATTGATTCAGCAGCCTGATTAATCTATAGCCATTTTTCAGACAGACAGAAACATGAGAAATAAATTAGATTTTGAAAACTCTTTCATTATTAATAACCTACATTGCAATTAGTAGCAGGTGCAGCGATCCTTAATGAAATGAGACAGAACAAAACAGCAATGCTGGGAGCTCATTGTACAGCCCACCAGATTTCCACAATGGAGTCTGACTTTCCCAGCATTCTCCTATTAACTGTGGATAAGCTCAGGCCAGTTTTCAGAACTCTGTGCCAGCACAGAGGTGAGTTTAGCCAAGGTGACTTTCCTCTTACTTTTTACGACTCTTTCCTCAACAGAGGCAGTTGCTCCTGAAAACCTTCTCTTAGGCAGGACAAATGCTGCCATACAAAGCAGCAATGCATGTGTTAGAGAAGATGCACACACTGCCTCATCCCTCTTATGTACCAGAGCTGCAGCTGCTTTCCTATAACAATAAATCATATTAATTCTGAATTTGGCATTCATGTGTCTTTCTGCTGAATCTGACAGAGAAATAAGAAATCCTTCCTAGCATATAAATACTTGTGCTGTTGCTCCTGGATCCAATACAGATAAAGTTGAACCCACAGGCTCATGATCCAGATCCTATACACTTATGTCTCACCCTTATTTTCCCCATGCTTTCCAAGCCATTGCCAGCTCAGCTCATCATCCATACTGTACCACACTGCTTTTCCTACTTCTTATACTCTTTTAATATTTTCAGTAAAGAGTGCAGTTCCTTAGAGATGAATGCATGTGCCAAAATCGAGCAATTGATACAGAAAGATCAAAACATCAGACTTATTGGCTGAAATACCCATTTGCTTCAGGGCACCTTTCTGTAAAATTTACTACTGTTAACTCTAGGGTCATCTTAACTGTGGCTTGTATTGGCAGTGGCATCTGGAAGTCATTCAAAGTCTTTTGTATAAGGATATCACTCTCTGCCTACAACTCCATTTGTTTTAGTTTACAGATGCTACTTTATTGCATGAAGAAAAACTGCTGGCAAAGGAAAGGTGGAGATCATCAGAATGATCTTCTCTCATAAAAATTAACTTACTTCATTATTTTGCAGGCAGAACTTTGTTATAGATCACCATCACCTAACAGGCTGGTGTCTGATCTCTCTTTATTGTTACACAATACAGGCCTTTCTGGCTTTTCCATCGAGGCAACAAAATGTGATGACATGGGTTACAAATGATTTACTCCAAGTCTTGTCATTTCAGTTGCATCTATGATTTTATTGAGACTAAATTCTCTTGACTTGTGCTGACCCAGAATCTAATTTTATACACAAGCCCATGAATTCTTAACTGTCCCTTCTTTTCACACTATTTGATGCTTGTGCGGTTTTTTACATCCATTTAATTTTCTGTATCTTTTCTGTTTGTTTTGGTTTTTTCCCCTTAACCTTAAAAACTTCACTAAAAGCCAGAAGTTATAAGAACAGTATTTTGTAACTGGCTTTCTAGCACCAAACAAGTAAGACATTACATAGAAGAAAATACTTTGTATCGTTTCCAGTTTCTGTAATTTACATCATACATGGATATAACAACAAAAAACAATGTATTTCTGCACTTTGAATTTAAGTTATATGGCTAATCAATATTTTTTTTAAATCACAAAGGATGGGCATTTCATTTTTTTACTTTGTTGGGGGCTTCAACAACCTATGAGACCTATAGAAGAACTTTCAGACAAGGAAGCATAAACCTTGTTTGTACCAGGGTTTAGCACGTAGCAAGAAGGCTGGGGTGCTAGTCAATAGTAACATTGAAGTCTGCAGCATCTCTATATAGTTCCTAAGCAAACAAAATCTTCTAAGAAGGAATCTATAACCAAGAAAATAAAATTCTATCAATTACCTTGACTCTTATTTTTTCCCCTTATACTACAAAGACCAACACTGAACTACAAGGATCATCAGCATTTTATTATGCACAAAAGTTCATTAAAGAAATGTTTAAAACTTAAAATCATATCAGCAGCACGCATGGAAATACAAGTGCACAAAAATATCCACATGACACCCTAATTACATTACCACATGTAAAGTGCAAAGGCTCAGCTGTTCAAAATAATCCACTGAGAATACTGTGAAAAATTTAGAGAATATCACAAGCTCCTTTACATACACTTAACCAGGAGTAGAAGGGATACACAAATATTATGAGCGTTTGTGATTTTTGTAACATTATGCAAAAAGGACAGATTAGTTCTGACCAAATTCGTGAACTTCTCAAGTGGATAGAATCAAGTTTCTGATTGAGTCTGATCTGCTTCACAGTCTTGGATTGAAGGTAGGCAAAACTTGGTGATTTTAACACAAGTCAGGCAAAAATTAACCACTGGTTTACTCAGCATGAGAATCAAATGAGGACATAACGTGTGAAACAGAAAACCAAAGAGAAATAACTTGTGTGATTTCCCTGAAAAATGAAATGACACCATCTTGGATCTCTCTCGTTATCCTACATGAGTGTTACAACAAACCTAAGGTGTAGAGACATGCACTGAGAGGAATGCCAGCCCCTGCTCTGCTCTCTTCAATTATACACATGAAAAAAGCAAAACGTGGTCCTAAATGTGTTCCCCTTCTTCAAACAATGTTATGGTGACTGTATCTAGGCACAGTGTCTGTCACCACTCTCTTGCACAGCTCCAATAGCACACATCGCACAGACACTCAGCACTTGATGCATAGAAGGCCTCATGAAAGGAACCATAAGGATACCCGTCCATCAAACTATCCTACTCCCAGCTACTCTAATCCATTTAGACAGTCATGCCAAAGAAGTCATATTTAGTCATATTGCCAAAGGACACATCTCACAGCATATGCCAAATATATAACTTATTTTACTTTGATTTGTAAAAGTAGGATGTTCTCAAAAATTGATAAAACATCCATTCATCAACAGCCACTGGAAGTCAAGTAACAGAGTCATGAGACATAAAAAAAAGAATATGTGAATTTCCACACTTTATACAGTATTGTCAAAGATGGTCCCCTTCAAGAATTACGTTACCTGACCCAGCCAAAGCAAAACATACCATTGAGTACTGAGGGAAAGATTAGGGTAAAAAAATGACAGTTCACTCTTCTGTTACCAACTCCTTAAACATCCAGTAGTTAAGGCAGCTAGTACCACAGCTAGTGTTTATTCTGACAGATACATGCATCCAGCCATTACACTGAGAGATGCCCTAATTTCCATTTACCCTGCATTATAAGAATAATTTATGTACAGTAGTTTTATCTTGGATTTGTACCCTGATATAATTTTAATCGTTAGGAATATTCAACATGCTATTTAAAAATATAACTAGGAAATTACTTTTTGTAATGTTTCAAGCAATATTGAAGTCTTGCTTAAAATCAATGTCTTCAGCCTCCAATCATTTAAATAGTCAACACCTCCAGTAAGACTTGTTCTAGCTATGTCAGGATCGAGCCCATTTTGGTGCCTACAGGGAGTTGTAGGGCTGGGATCTGACCCTGTTCTGCATGAGATAGTTTTCTAGGGAAAGTTAGAAATCTGCCAAAAACTATAACTATGCAAATCCCAACATTTATTGTTACACTCACAGTGCCCTGGTTTCAGGAATTGACTTAAAACATTATATATTCTATTGCCTTAGGAATTTGTCACTGTCAATGTAACATAAGCTGATGTAATATTTTAAAGGATATATTTAAGTTGAAGCAAATACACTACAATGTAAAGAGTGAAATCCTCAGTTGTCCCTGTCTTTAAATTTCTCCCTTTTGGGCAAGTCAGCATATCTCTAGAAGAAATCCTCAATACTCTTTTCTCCACTAGTAAAGTACAGATAAAATAATCCATTAATCTAATTTTTTACAAGATTGGAATTCACTGCCAATCAAACCGAACAGGATGCTTTTCTGTGTCAGAGATTAAATTCTTACTTAATAGAATACAAAACAGTTGCACTTGGTACTGTGAAGAATTGTCCTTTCTCCCCCTCCTCAGATACTGCTCTCAGTAACTGATCTGTCAAACTACTGTTATCAGAAGATCCCCTACAAGCAGCA